AGGGTTGTTAGTATTTTTTTTTGAGTGGGGCAAATCGTCCAGTGACTTCTCCCGCCCGGGTGAGGTGAGAGGGAGTGTCAGACTCTTACTGATTAAACACCACCCCGTTCCTACTCCTGCACTTCGAGCCGGAGCACCGAAAAACCCATTAAATCTACTGCAGAAGGGTTGTTAATCTAAAAGAGTATTTGTTAATTTCATGCATTTAAAACTCATAACTTATATATAAATAATGTTTTGGAGTCGAATTCCTTAATTGACTATTACGCAGGTAATTATGACAAGTAATCAAGCAAATTCGTTTTCACCATGGCTCACGCTTGGTTAACTAAGGTGACGAACCATGGTGCTTATTAGAGACATGACTACTATAAAGTGGGCATTCAGTATGACCATAAATCATAAAGACTAAATTAAAAATGGCTTTGCTACTTAATATTGTAAGAAAACCTGTCTTCAAATTCAAAAACAATTTGTGCACTATTCATTTATATATCAGCATAAGGCAAAACAGCAACTATTGTTCTATCGATAGTCTCTTTACACTTAACATTACTATAAATACAATTGATACTTCTCGTCATTCGATTAAACGAGCTGTAACACATGATATCAATCGATATATCCTCGGATCACAAGCACAATACACTTGGACGCAACCGTTGCCCAACAGTTGTTACGGTATCGTTGCGTAATGGTGTTGAAACCATGCCATAAGGACTGGGTGAAAGGGATACTGGGACTCGGAAGTGGGGGGAAGAATAGACATAGACTTAGACTTAATGAAAGCACTATAAACCTGAACAAAGATAAAGGGCAAGAGTTTGCTTCAGAAGCCGTTTCTAACAAAGAAGAAGGAATTGTGTACTCGTAATTGGATAATATTGAAAAGGGCGAGCCTGTTAAGGTAAATAGATTTGCGAAAGCGAAACCAACGGTTGATGCTACAAATTTTGTTAAAGATCTAAACGATAATTTAGACAAAGATGGCACAATTGTTAGAGATGGGAGCTTATTTGTTGCAAAGACTAGTTACATAAAGAATTGCAAATACGTTTTTATAATTGACTTGAAACAATCTTTGATGAGTCTAAATCAGTTCGAGAGACTACCCAATCAACAAAGTTTCCCAACCATACAATCCATTGCTCTTTTTATAATAACTCCCATAAACCTATAGAAACCAATCAACAATATTTACACAACAACAATAAGATTCACGATTCCAACCTGAATATCAATAATGTTACAAAACTCCCAATTAAACGTAAAACATTTAGCTCCATTACAATTTACCATTTTACAATAAACAAGCCTTTCTAAGCCCGCTACTTGATAGCCGTTGCACCACGCTATGCCATAACTGTAATAGCATTGCGCAGCTCACGACACGGCACAGTTTTTAATATAAATGTCACTGTAATATTTGATGTGTGATGTGACAATTTTGCTGCTAATCTCTGGTAGATTATAGATGCTGATTGATCCTATCACAGTTTGTCAGTCACGCGATTTCATTTAGCTAGAACAACGATCAATCATAGTGGGTATTGCAGTTGCAGATAAATCGTCTCGATAAAACTTAAATAAATTACCAACTGACATTATTAGCTCAAACATCCGTTAAAATATTGACATAAATGTCCCACGACTTCAAAAATAAAAAGATGATGATTTAAATACATTCAGAGAACCAGAATTTTTTGAAGACGCAGATGATGCTAATGTTGAGGCTTGGATACAAGCGAAATATCGAAATTTGAATAAAGATGAACCGGTTACATTTTGAGGTGAAGAAGTCCAAACAGGTCAACAAAGTTCAAATGAAAATATTCAATCAGACAGCCCACAGAAAGTGTGGAAACAAAGAAAGTTTGTTCTTGAACTAGTTATTTAAACTGAATATGCATTAGTTACGCAAAAAGATTCTTAATGCCTTCATTAAAAATTGTAATCAGTTTGCAAACGAAATTATGTCAGATGCGAGTGTTGAGTGCAATGCTTTTAAAAATGTCAAACGAGATATATTTGACCTTTCTTAATCACTGTGTTCGTTTTTATCAAATTGCGTAGGTGTTGCTTATACTGGATTCATATTAATAATATAATTGATGATGATGAATCCACTTCTGAATATTGTATGTTTTTAAAAAGTAGACGCTAAGTGCATTGATATAATATTAATTTTGTTTTATTTGTTTCTTTCGTATGTTTGCAAAGCCTCTATGAATATTAATAAAAAGTAAATAACCTTTTGTATTATCTGTCACAATCAACCAAATCTTATCTTGGTTTAATATCTACCATCACAACTTTAAGCTGCTTTATAATTGCATCATCTTTGTTAACTTATTTGTCTTCATGATAATTCTAACAAGATTCAACATCATTAATCTCAGTAACATCTTCGAATTTATCTTCAAACAAGTTGCAACTTAAAATGTCACTAGTTTCAAGCAGTTTACGATGTTTAAAATTAAGTTATGAGTTGACGTAGTTAGAAGTCAATAAACCTTTGGCACTACTTGAAATTCAACTCATCCTAAAAGTGAAAATAGTATGACATGCATACTTAAACGTAAGTGCTCGGTTAATTATAGGTCGGCTTGCAAACGACGGGGTCTAGGTACCAATAAAGTTTTATAATCATACTGAATCGCGCTATTATGTGCTGTTTTTTTTTCATTTTTTGTTTTGTAAAGTTATTTTCAATTAAGTGTAGGTATATTATCATAATAATTTTTCAATCTTTCCAAAAACTGATCTCGTTTTCATCATTCTAGTTTGTTGTCATGGCATATTTTTAAATAGTACAATTAAACTGTCAAACACTAAGCGGTCACCGGTGACCGCAACCTATTGTTCTATAATTGTGTCTACATAGATGGTACTCGACAAGTTAAGCTGGAATTATATCTAAGTGTTTGGCATTTTTTCATTACGTATGTGATTAACAATGGTTTTTGGTAATTAGTAAAAATAACAATTGGTCAAAAATAACTTTCTTATTTTATGTCATTGGTTGGCAAACGAGTAGAACAGCCATCGATAATGGACACCGAACACTATAATCTGTACATGTAACTTGTTTTTAGCGAAAGAAATGAAGACCTTTGTTATTCTTTCTATAACATCAGAGGCAAAGAAGAGTCACGAATGTATTCCTTGTCGACCTTTATGGGATTGGTGGATTCATGATAATATTTATCGCACAGTTATATAAATTTTAGTGCAATTCTTCTACAGGTACTGCAATAACAATCGCCAATAATTTAAATATCAATGCGTGTAATTAGTATTTAGATGAATGCAAATGTGTTATCAATTGCAGGAAACAATTATTATTGGTTGCTTTTAATTAAGGATCATTATTTCAATTCTAATGTATGTACTACTATATGTTTTGTTTACTTTTAAGCTTAAAAAACGCCATTTTATCAGAAACAACTAAACCTTCTTTGATAAAATTTAGCAAGCAGATAAATGAAGATCTTTGTTGCAAGATAAAGATATGTTTCTCTCTTCAAAATTAATATGCTTTTTAAAACAAACTTTCGAAATTAGTTTCCATTGACGTAAATATTGTCTCTAGTACTTGATGTAACTTAGCTCTAAGTACCGTAGTAACCCAATTCCCTGTATTGCAAGCCACTCGTGCGCACAAGATTAATGTTCCCATCGATCTTAGCTGCAATAGCCAGCCAATAGCCCAACGTCTTTGCAATACAACCATTGCTGACCACGTACGTAATAGATTCTCTGTAATCGATGGTGAGGGCGTAATGGACGCAATCCATAAACCAATATGTGAGGGCAACGTAACAGTAAATAGTGTAGAAATGTCTCCGATTGCAGTAAATTGTGGTTCTATATAAATTGTAGGTCAGGTTGTCGCATTCGAGTTGAAATTGATTTTGGATATATTTTTGTGTTTTGATGAAGTTAGATAAATCATATTTTGATTAGATATGCTGTTAATTGATTTCGCACGCTGTTCAGTTGAGTTCTTAGCCGCCAATTTTTAGTGTGTTTCTGTGCTCGCACCCAAAATCACCCACCATTACGAATTTGTGCTACAAAAACATATGTGAAAGAAACTTTCTCATTGTTTTTCCTGCACAAACATGTGCTTTCTACCTTCCTAACACTTCTATTATAATAGCACGTACGAAAAAAACTAAATCGACGTTACACACACGAGCGGCGCTGCTGTGCGAATGCGCCGATTTCTACCACCACAGTTCACTTTCACTGAGAGAAACTAAGTCTTTTTGTTCATTGTCAGCTCCAACCGCTTACCGATTTCGAATAGCGTACCGCTAAGGATTTCGAATTTAGAATCTAGAGCAGATTATGGCGGTTTATTTAAATTTTAAACGGAATTTGGAATCGGAATTCGAACTTGAATTTAGAATGTACATGCTCTACTTTTAAATTGAAGTGTGGCTATTATTTTTCGAATTAAGAATTCGTTTTTATTATCTACTACACGTAGTTCTTTTTTTATAAAAGTCTTGATACTTTTTTATTAATAAAAATGAAATAAAGAGAATGGGTATAATAAAAAACGAGACGTAAATAGTGACATTTCGCGTTTTTATGCAAAAAAAGTTTTATGAGAAACAGGTCCAACAATTCTTGGACCTTGCTATTTAATCTTGTAAAGTTTAAGATGAATTTAAAATGAAGACTTGCGAAATAGATACAAGATTTACCTACATATTAAGTTGTAATCGCTGATGTTATCAGGAAATGTAGAAATTATCGTAAATAACAATTTAATTGAACAACTTCCTTTGATGATTATATAAATGAGTTATTAAAAACACGTAAAACAATAATTTAAAATGTTATTAAGTATAACACAAATTAGGTTTTATTACTCGAGAAGCCTAACGAAGTAAAACTTTCTAAGAACTTTCTATTCTCGTAAACAAAGCAATTATGACATGAGAAAAAAAACATTTCCCTTTAATAAAAATTATGTTAATATTGCTCACCATTTTTTTGGGTTCCCACGAAAATCACACGGCAGGAAATAAATTATATTAAAAAAAAAAACAAATATCCGCACTACACAGTACCTCACTCTCAGTACAGTCGATCACTGAAACACGTCAAATAAAAAAAATAAAAAATCACAATTTTTTTTTGTTCGTTCACTATTTTTTCTGTTGTATATAAACTAGATTCGTATAGAAAAATTTATATGAAATTCGTTTGTTGCAGAGACATTTCTGTCCTGGCGTCTGTCCGGGTTGAAAGACAGTCGTGGACTGGCCGTGCGACGGAAAGTCTTGGGTTTCGTGGTTCTTGGTTATTCAAAGGTGCGCTTGCGACGATGCGGACCTAACTGTCTTGAAGCTTTGTCTTGAATTTTGATTGGTAAAAAAACGAGAGTGCTTATTTAATGCATAATTTTATTTTTGTACAATTTGTAGTACTCTATGGAATGTCTATTGTTATCAATGAATTAATTTGTAATTTCTAAAATGCCTCGTTGACTGAATGTTCGCATGTGAAACTGCCGGGCAAGGAGTCCTGGGGTCAATACACGGGTCGGGCAAAGTAGTATTGGGTTTTTAAAAAATCCTCAGTAGTAGCACGGAGCACCCCCTTTACTTGGGACTCATAACATAAAATAGTGAAAAGTGGCATTAAATGCTATACTATGCACCTCTGCCTACCCCTTCGGGGATAAAAGGCGTGATGTTACGTATATATTATGTTCTATAATATTGCAGAATATTTTCGATAGATGTGTGTATGTACACACTTTTTAAACATAGAACTTAAATGTAAATAATAAAAAATCTATTTTTTTTAAACAAGAGAATAATGTTTAAAAATGCTACTGAGTTCCATATTTTAATATCAGTAGGTAAACTCAAACTCAAAAGCATTTATTTCAATTAAACCATAATTTGGTACTTTTGACTACTTGGTACTTAGTTTGCAAAAGTACATATCTACCCAATATTAATTGATACTTGCAAAAATACACCAAATAATAAATTGTTACGGAGAAAACAGTTCCCTACTTAAACATGACAACAAAAAGACAATGATATAAAAATTACGAACATGTTACAAATAGGAAAATTATGGTAATGACATGACAACTTCTTAGAAAACCATTTGAAGGTCAAATTCGCGAATAAAATATTATTAAGTAAAATATCAAGTGACATTTTTCTTTTAAAATTTTCTTTTTAGACTTAGTATTAGCTAGCTTCTGCTTCCGACTTCGTACGCGCAATTTCTTTCTTTTCTCCCGTTCTCATGCAATTTTCATTATTTTTTCTGTCATAAGAACCTTCTCCTGACAATAAAAAACAACACAATAAAAAATAGTAAATTCCGTCCAGTCGTTGACGCATGATGGCGTGAAAGGGGATATTTTTAAGGGGGGGGGGGGAGTCATCGAATGTCTTCTCCCGCCCGGGTGAGGCGGAAAGGAGTGTCAGACTGTTACTGACTAAAAACCACCCCTGCCCTTCGAGCTGGAGCCCCGGCAACCTGTTAGGTTCTCCGCTGTGACCAAGGGTTTATTTTTTTAAGAGGGGAAAATCATCGAATGGCATCTCCCGCCAAGGTGAGGCGAGAGGGAGTGTCAGACTCTTACTGACTAAAAACCACCCAGTTCCTACTTCTACCATTCGAGCCGGAGCCCCGGCAACCTGTTAAGTTCTCCGCGGTGACCAAGGGTATAGTGATTTATTTATATATATTTAAATAATAGCAAACAAGTGAAAGTCAAAGCATTTATTTCAATTAATCCTTAAGTAGACACTTTTGAAACGTCAAACATTGAATTGTCCGTCCGTCTGTCTACCAGTGAAACTAGGCGCTCGTTCCAAATTGTAGTTTCGAATGGAGAAGAACGAGCATCGAACTCCATCCAAACATTTCATTTGGTGCCTAGATACAAAGTTTTTTGTGATAATAAAACTCCTAGAAATTTTTAATAATACTGCGAATACCTATGACTTTGTTGGAGTCATTTTTTGAAAAAAAGAAACTCGTTTTTTTACTTGGTAATAGTTTTAAAATTTTCCTTTACACAATCTTTTATTTAACGACTAGTTTTTGCATGCAACTTAACACTTATTTAATTTTATTATTTGATATCTGTTAATTGGAGATGATATTGTAAGATTTATTTTGATAAAATCAATATATCTATGTTTTTCTAAATAAACATTTAATAATCCTAACATTGAATTATATTTAATACTAATACTTCTAAACTGAGAAAATAGTGTGAAATTGTATTTAGTTTTGGACGCAGAAAAATTGCAATAGGTATGTACCTACTCCGAAAATATATTCCCGTAATTACTTGAATACTAGTAAGACCTAACATCAAAATGAACTCATGCAAACACAAAGTTATTAATTAAATACTTTGGTAAACAGAATTAACTCGTCAAGTACCGTCATTATAGACACAATTATAGAACAATAGGTTGCGGTCACCGGTGACCGCTTGGTGTTTGACAGTTTAATTACCACAAAATCGGGTTTTATTTTGTGTTAAACATCACAACACTAGGCCATCTACAATATTTACGAAGTCTCTCTTAAAGTATCAAGACCTCACACGCTCTAAATTCCTCAAATTTTTGTCAAAGCAAAAATTGTTTCGATTCCTTTCACCCCTTACTTAAACACAATAAGTGGGAAAGAGACAAAAATAATCAACCGCAACACTCGATTAGTTGTGTCAATTTACTAATTAACAATCGTAATATTTAAATTGATTTGTATTTTGATTTGTAGGTAATCTGAAGTTTACTGGCATTCCAATTGAACGACTTATTTCAAAAACAATAATTATGAATAGCTCATAACAGTTCAACGTAGGATTATGACTTTTATTTACATGTCTTACTTCTGTTTATCATCATACTAATATTGTTAATGCGAATAGTTGTGTTTTGTGTGTATGTATATTCCTCAATCAGGTGAAAACGGCTACAGCGACCGAGATGCAATTTGGAACAGGGATAGATTATGGTATGAAATAATACATAGGCTACTTTTGATCACGTGGTAACGCGGACGAAATCACGGGCAGACGCTAGTTTTGCCATAATCTCGAAGTAAAGCTAGACGGGCTAGTTGTCGCGGAGAACCTAACGGGTTACCGGGGCTCCGGCTCGACGTGCAGGAGAAGGAACGGGGTGGTTTTTTTACTCAGTAAGAGTCTGACACTCCCTCTCACCTCGCCCAGACGGGAGGAGTCATTCGATGATTTTCTCCCCTTACAAAAAACGACGGGCTGGTCGATCAGGGTTATCAAAGAATATTGCAGCTTGGTTGCTATACATCAGTTAGCTTAATTTATGAGACCCATGGGCTGAGAAGATGTAGCCATAAAGGAGAGAAATTAATAAATGGTAAGTCATGAGCATACATCTTGTCCAAATCCCAAAACAGTAAGTTTAACAAACATACTGTATAGAAATGGCGTCAGATGATCCTTCGTTCAAGTTCATAGCTACTTAATTAGACATTGTAAAATATTTTCTAAAACTTACGGTACTGCAAAACTTTTGTCATTGTTATGAAACAAATTAATTTTTAAAAATTATTTTTATGGTCATGGTAACTAGACGTTAGACGTGTACCGAAAATTTCAACTCAATCGGTTGAAGACATTTGCTTCATGTAGTTAAAAGTTTCCACTTCACACATACATTCATACCCCATAACATAACATTACACCTTTTTATCTCCAAAGGGGTAGCCACAGGTGCACATTACAGCACTTAATGCCACTGTACAATGTAACACCAACTTTTCACTATTTATGTTATGAGTCCCATGTAATCGAGGGTGAGCCTATTGCCATATACCGGGCACATTTCCAGACTCCGTTCTACTATATACATTCATACATAATACTATATTGCAATTAAAGTTTATGTGGAATCCTAACTTGATAACCTACGTTCAATACGTATTCTCGAAAGCAAAGCTTTAACTTAATCTCCCGTAGCCAGCTCATGACGGAGCCTTACTCCCATGTACTAAGCTTACCAACATCTTATTGGAGCCAGCAGTAATCCCGGATTTAGGGCGCTCCCAATCCCATCGGATCTTGGGAATCAGGTGTAAATTACGCTGTGGCCACTGGAACGTACATGGTATTGTGACAAGGGAATATCATGGGTTATATGCAAGTTATAGTGCTTTTAACCGACTTAAAAAAAAGAAGGAGGTTCTCAATTTGCCTGTATGTATTTTTGTGCGCGATTATCTCGCGATTGTATATATCTATTTTGATGCGGTTTTCATAAAACTGTTTGTAACGCTTAACTCGTCGAGTACCGGTTTTGTAGACACAATTATAGAACAATAGGTTGCGGTCACCGGTGACCGCTTGGTGTTTGACAGTTTAAAGGAAGGTTTTAGTATAATAATAAACCGGCTATTTAAAAAAGAACGGCTTGAAGTCAGTTGTTTTAAACGTTGTTTAAAATTAAATTTTTAATTTGAGAAATTATTACATTCAAAATGTAACAATTTGATTTGTAAATTAGCTGGCCTACGTTTGGTAGTAGACGTCTTATAGCTGACATGATAAAAGGGTCCATCAGTATCATAATGCCATCTCAGTATTTTTGGTACCTTTCCATACATCTTCTTCCTTTGTAACACAATTTCCATACCATTTCATTCTCGTCCAACTGGTCAAGATCCAAGCAGTCACCGGTGACCGCTCTCCACTTATACCGTTATAAACCTTACTTCCCATATTTACAGACTACTTTTGTATGAACAATAATATTAAGAAGTGTACATGAGAACTAAAAATAAATAGTAGGGCTTAAATATTTACATTTTTGTACCTTCGACTTACAGAGAATCACAGCGTATTTACCCATGGTCATGGTCATGGCCAAAGATGAAAGTGCTGATGGACTGCCAAAACATAGAATTACTAGATTTTGTCAGATTGCCAGCAACACCTACAGACTAATACAATTCCGATTATTGTCATTTGAATTAAACCACACTTTCAATGCTAATAGAATGGAAATTAGGTTGGAGCTGCTAAAGTAGCGAGAAGGAGGGAGAGAAGGTAAAAAGAAATAGTGTGATTACAATACTACGTTATTCACATCAACAGCCCATAAGCCCTCTTCTCACACGGGATTGGTTTGAGCTTTAATCACAACGCTTGCAAAAGTGGGTTGGCGATTTCAAACTTATAATTAGAAATTATAAGCCCAGGTTTCCTCACGATGTTTTCCTTCACCGTCCGTCA